CGCGGCCGAAACGCGAGCTGGCCCCACTTTCATTTTCCTCCGGCCCCCGCTGAGCGAGGGAAAGGCGTTTCCTGCCACCCCCAGCGCTCGGGGTGGGGGCAGAGCCAGCACCGAGGCCGGGGCTGAGAAAGGGGAGAACGTCAAGGACGTCCGAAGGCCTCCTGGCTGTGGACCCCAAAGAGGTCCCCCCAGCCCACACCTTGTCCCCCCCCCAAACAAAAAACTACCCATAGCTTGACAAGGGGGAAGGCAAGGGAGATGTAGCGCTGCCAACCCGGTGGGTGAGACCAAGGGATGAGCTGGGGAGCAAGGTGGGCACGGGAGCAAAGACGATGACTTGGGGAAGGAGATTTTGGGGGGGGGGGAAAGGAAGGGGATCCACGGGAAAAGCGCAGAAGTGGGAGGGGGACTCGGGAAGGGACTTGCATATCACAGGGAGGGAGAGCGAAGTCCAAAGTGGGGGGGCTGAGGTCGCACCCCACCTGGGGAAAGGGCAGGAGGGTCTGCAGCTCCCAGGTGGAGCCGGCAGAAGGAACATCTTGCCCTTGCTCCTGGCTCCAGGGAAGAGCATCAACCCTTCGCGTCCCTCCCGAAAAGCCCATCTGCACGAGGGGGCTCCTGAGCTTGTTTCTCTTGCGGAGGAGACCCATCGAAGGCGTTTCTCCACCCGGCTGTCCCCAAAAACCAGCCTCCAGCTCCCCCTTGAGACCATCCTCGCTAACAGTCCGCGCTGTTCAGCCACCCCCCAAAAAAAAGAAAAAAAGATTTCAAGGCGAGTTTGGAGAGGGACTGTTGTGTTTTCAACCTGGCTCGTTCCCCAACCCCGTTTACTGCCTCTGCAGCGATGCTAAAAGACTTTAATTGGAGAAGGGAGGGGAAAAAAAAAATCACATTTGGGAGATAAAAATCTTTGCAAAGCAAGCGCAGCATTAGAGGAGAGCAAACACAGACTGGGGCTGAGACCCCAGGGCTGAGCTTAAATAGGGCCCGGGGCCATGGGCAGGGGGTGGTTGGGGGTCCCAGGTGGGGCTGCTCAGGGCAACTTAATGCTTATTAACGGCCTCAGGGTGCCAACAAAATCAGCTGATGTTGCTGGAGAAGCTGGCAAGCTCCTTTAGAGCTGCCGAGCTCCCAGCGCTTGCAGCACAGGAGGAGGAGGAGGAAGAAGAGCGCGAGCAAGAGCAACGTCCTAGATGCAAGAGTCAACGTTGTCCCTCGGGGGCATCCTCTGCGCGTTCCCCCCCAACCAACGCCGTGGCTTCTTCCCCACCGACGTAACCCTTAACTCTGCAAAGGCCGCGAGCGCAAAGCCCTGCCTCGAGTTTCGGGCTGAGCGTTTGCACGGCGGGAGCTTGGCGCTGGCAACTCGTGACACCCGGAGCCCGGGCGTAATACCGAAAACCGAAAGCAGAGAAAGGCTGGTGGGGAGAAAGCACGTCTGCAAACCCGACCGACCTTGCAAGGTCAGAGCAGCCGGAGTAAAGTGACGCTGCAAATAGGAAAGCCGGCAGGAGGGGAGATATCCATCGCTGGAAGGTTTTTCTCCTAAAAAAATATCACTTATTGCTCTAAAAACGAGGGGGCTGCAGGCTGAAGGAAGCCCTGCCGCAGCACGGCGGGCTCTCAGGTGGAGGACCCCGCATCTCGGAGCCAGTCCAGCCATCAGGTCAGCGCAGCACCATGTTATTTCCTTTGCAGGGCGAAAGCAAATCCCTCCCTTTCCCCAAGGGCACGGGCGAGCGTGCAAGGAAAGCAAAAACCAAAGCGAAGCCGGCGCGTGGGAATCGGCGCAGCCCGGACCCGTGAAAGCAGCAGCCTCCTGTTGAAAAGGAGAAGCGAAAGCAGCATTCAACATATTTATAGCCGCCACGTACCGCGCGCAGGCAGAGACGAGGAAGCTGGCAGGACGGTGCAGAAGCCGGCAGTTAGGTACCACGAGGGGCTGCAGTTAGTTAGCGCTGCGTGCCAGCGGCTCAACGTTTAAGGAGGGAGAGCTGTTTGCGGTAGGGGAGCCGCATTGCCGTGGCCGTGCGCTGCGATTAAATGCTCATTTATTGACGAGAAGCTTTGGCGGGTGGGAGGAGAGCCACCCTCGCTCGGGCGCCTCTTTGCAGCCCCGGGGGATGAGCAGCCCACGCCGCAGAGGTGCAACGCGATACGGGGCGGGGGGGGAAAGGGGCGAATTTAAGGGGTTGAACTCGGTAGCAAGCAGCTTGCCTCCAGGGAAAGGTGGGCTGGGATGGAAAGCGGGATGGAGGAGGGATGCAACGACCCATTTCTGGCTGCTCCTGCACCCGGGGAGGCTTTGGGCTGGGGTTCCCCCTTCCCTGCATTTGCCTGGGGTTTTTTTTTGGGGGGGGAGGGGGGGGGTCGTATGAAGG